GTAGCTTGGTGTTTTCCGGTTAGGAAAAAAGAGGAGAAAGGCGAGGAAATGAAAGCAAGGAAAGCAGTCTTGTAGAGAAGTCTTATATATGCATTTCCCATACCTGAAGGTTCATGCTTTGAATGAACTCGCGTGGAATATTCTTCTTCCTTACTTCACTCATGATCTGAAATTAGACGAAATAACGAAATGAAATGAAAACATGCAGGAAATCCATAAACTGGCCCATGAAACTGCAAAAACAAACAAACAAACACATAACTACAACTCATAACTACAGTACAAACAAACAATAAAGAACAGCAAATCCAAACACCAGACAGAAATAATCACCTTAATTCTCTCCATTTCTGTGGTGAAAGAATGRAACAATTCAAAGAAAATCAGCCCCAATGAGTAGACATCAACTTTGTAGGAGTACGCTTTGCCTGCTAATTGCTCTGGACTCATGTACAGATGGGTTCCTACTTGACCTGTGTGGTTGGCATCAATAAAACCATTCTTTCCTGAAATAGAACAGATGAATACTGTATTACTCTATTGATCAATGAATCGATATTCCTCAATTAATCGCCCAATCAATAATTCAACCAGACAACCAACCCACACACTATTTAATCAACCAACTGGTCAACTAGCCTACAAGTAATCAATCAATTAATCAACCAATCAACCATCCACCTAATCAATCACTCAACCAATTAATTAACCAACCATTAAATCAGTTAACGAATAAGTATTTTATACCGTATCGGTCCTGTATAATTTATTGATCTACTGATACCAACAATAAATCAATCAACCATGGAGCCAACTCATCGATGAACTAGCCAATCAATCACTCAACCAACTAATTAATCAACCATTCAATCAGCCCGCAATGAATCAATCAATTAATTCGTCAAGTATTTTATACCGTATGTCCTGTAAAATTTATTGATCTACTGATTTGTACCTTTAKTTGCATCGTCTGATGGTTCCTGTACACTTGCCGTTACTAAACCAAAATCACCTACTTTCACACTTCCATCCAGTGAGAAAAAGATATTGGATGGCTAAAGATAAAATAAAACAACACTGAAACAATTGATGACAATGATATARAGATAGCCAAATCAACAAGCCATGTGTACGGCTTAGTGTCCGTATGATCGCCCCAAACGCGTTTTACAATTTTTTTAGTTTTCTAAGGAGACATAACAATGGAAAAAAGACCTTTWGGAGCGATTGGGTTGCACAAGGCATAAAGTTATTAGCTGTAAATATCATGATCGTCTTTTACATGTACTTCTTGTTCACATTCAATTAAAAGATTGCATACCTTTAAATCTCTGTGCATCATTCCTCGTCCGTGGAAATATTCAACTGCATGAACGATCTGTAAGATTAAAGTGCTACTTGCATGAAAATGGCCTCACTTCAAAACTTCAAGCAATACAAATATATGACTCATTTATATCTATTAAAAACAATTGCGGGAAAATATTTGTTTTGGAATTATCCCACATCAGAGAAATTTTGATTYAAAAGATGGAAGAACAAAAGGATTGAGTAGATGACGTCATCTACTCCAACATTTTTTGCCCAAACTATTAAGGATTTGCATGAATATTGGCTTGAAATCTGTTGCTTCTTGATTATTACACCCATATGGATAGGTGTATTTGATTCCCAAGTCTTTTCTAATGTTTCGCAATTTTCGTCCAAGTAGCCCTTTAAAGAAAATACTTAGCGTAGTTACTACAACTACTGTTGCAAAAAAAGCAAGCTATACTGAATAATAAAAGCAAACCAATGTATGAAGAATGAGTAAAGAATAGACAATGCAGACCACGAAAACAAGTATCATAAAAGGCCCATGCGCAACAAAGAACCGCGAAACATACGTAAAATCGCCATCTTTGCTTTTTGAGCCAATTAGAAAGCAGCTTTCAACAATAGATTAAAAAAGAAATCGATCGCAAAGGTTCAAAGTGTGCACATAATAAACCGACAAATAAKACKGTTTCTTACCTGCTCAAAAATATCTAAACAAAACAAATGGTTTCTTTGAGTATTACTCTTGAGCCAGTCCTTCAGACTTTCCCGACGGCACAGTTGCATTTGAATGAACAGGTACAATGGTGCCTGCAGGGTATCCTGGGTACACTTGTCGCTCTTACACTTGTGATGTTTGCCTGGTGATGAAGGGGAAATACATTACTATGGGCAAAAGCCTGGAATTTTCCAATTTAACCTGATCCACAAGACAAACATTTTTTTTTCTTGATTCATTTAATCTTCAAAAACTCATACAAAATTGATGAGCTATTAGGCCAATAGAATGAGCCTATTTGGTCACATGCATGGACCTTTATACCTGATAAAACACTCCTCATTAGTATTCTTTATATAAAGAATACTAATAAGGGTGACCTTTATCAGATATAAAGGTCCATGACCCTAGCAAAGGTCTCAGCTTTGAAACCTGATCATTGACCAATGCTGGATGTCAACCGATTGCAGTTAACAGGCAAAAGCGGTTCTATTTTATTTTTTACTTTATGCGTGTTCAATGTGGGATGACAAGAGTGCTTTGTAAAGTGATTCGCGCATGATCAGGTTGCCCGATTTATCCCAAAACCTATTTTTACAGCAATTTCTCCAAGAATGTTAACGGGTTTGAGTTTCAAATTAGTGTTTGAGTTTTTGAAGCCGTTTAAAACACTCGAGATCGTGTTTTAAACTATACATAATGCTATCTYACAAGCATGCACCGTACAGCTTGTCCAGCTCCCGATACAGGTGCATTTTATAGGTGTACTGAGTTGGTGCCGAATACCGGAAATCACAGTGATTTATTGTTCAAAGTTTGAATTAAATCATCGTTATTTACATTTTCTAGTTCATCAGTATAAAGTGAATTAGACAAAGCAAGATTGAAACGAAAGAAAATAATAAACAAAACAACACAGAAATCTGTTTGCTCACCCGATAGTAAAGACTGTCCAGACGTAGTAAATGACGCACACATTTCATTGGATGATTTCGACCCTTTACTACTACTGCCATCTTCTGGTAACTACGTGAAAAACGGTGATTATTAACACCATTCTTTCGAGCGAGAAAAGGAATGCGAAAAAAAAGTTTTGTATTAATAATTACCTCATGATTATTAGAGAATACAATTCCACCATCTGACTCGCTCAAATCCAGATTATCTAAATCCAATGACTGGATATTTTGACTTTTACTTGAGTCAGCAAATTCAACTCCAAATGAGCCACTAGTGTCGTCATCAGGAAGGAAAGCCTCATTTTCTAGATTATTGATATCAAACGAAACACTCAGGTCTCCATCTGTCGGTGTTAATGTAGGATGACGTTGATTCACTCCATCATCGTCAAAGTTTTCTGAATGCTTGGATTTTGTGCTTGAACTTGTAGTTTTTCTTCTTCTGATTATCATGTCGCTGTTGTGTGAAARTGGTTCTGTTTGGGAAGAAGGAATAAAAAAATGTCACCAAAGAATTGAAAACGTAATTGCAACAATGTACTGTAGAACATGCTGATCAGTTGATAACATTTCAAAAACGTTTACCTTTATTACTGATATTGCTTATACTCATTCCAGAATCTAGTTCAATAATATTACTAGYAGTTCTGCAAGACAAGAATATGAAAAGACAGCTTTAAATGCAGCTCCACATGAAAACACATGTCCAAAGCATTTCAAAAATTAATAGTTCAGATAATGAAATTAAACTTCAGGGCTAAGGTATGTTTTATGTTCAATTAGTGTTAWTCCAGGGTTAACTCGCTCCATAGGTCTTTAAAGASTTAACTCAGGATTAGCCTCTCTCACAGGCGTTCTTAGTCTCGCCACAAAATTTCACTTGTTCGTTCGTTTGTTCGTGGCGAGACTAGGAACGCCTGTGAAGGAGGCTAACTCAGCCCATGGTCCAAAAATAGCAAACTAAATTCTGTACCTRTCTTCAAGGAAGACTTTTTCATTGTCTTCCACCCAGCCTACTGGTGGTGCTTCAAACCATGAATTGTAGTAACGGACAATGGAGGGGTGTTCAAGTTTGGCTAGTGCTTTGACTTCTCGCATGACTTTCTCTCTTGCTTCATCACTGAAAAAATGGCAAATAACATTATTAACATATTATTATAATAACATTAGCATCATTATTATTGTCATCGATCTAAGCCATTTGTAGTCTCTTCTATCTGCCGCAACTTCTGGTCTCGTCAAATTTCCTCCCCGAAATTTGATGAGATTTCCTCCCAGAAATTTGATGAGACAGGAAAGTCACAGCAGTTAGAACAGACTAAGCCATTTGCTATCAACTCTGGATACTGATCTACTTAATATATTGTTTTTGTTGCACCAAGTGTTTTCATTCATCTTTTCTGTCTACTCAAAGGCCCAGCGTGCACCAGTACTGTATGCATTTCAGTTTACCGAAAGTCTAGTATAAATTGTACTGTGTGTGGCTCTGAGGGAGATTAGGGATTAAATGTCCGTGAAGCCGAGGGAAGATAAGTTGAAGTAACTTTGTAATACCATGATTTCCGAGGAAAAATTGAAGTTGAACTTGAGCGAAATCGAATTCTTGTTTTTTTGGCATGCTCCAATGTTTTCAATCAGAAGTAATATAAACATTGCAACAAACAACTCATGCATGAATTGGAATGTGACATGAAAAGAAAGGATACGCACTGTTCTAAGAGTATCACTTGCAGAACAACAGTACAAAATGATATTGATAATCCGACCGTTGTTACTGATTTCCCACAATGAACTTTGTTTGAAATTGCTTTTCAGTTCTATTCAATGCTGAAGTTAACGAACCTTAACTTCAACCCCGAAAAGTTGTTTTTATATTTGCAAGTATAATGCCAAGAGAAGCTTATCAACTATTATAAATCAAACATTGACATTCGTCAAGTGCACATGCTCAGCGGTACGAAGTAGAGACTTGGAACCAGAGCTACTCGGTCAATTTGGCCCAAAAATCATCCCACATTTCAGTGTGACTGAGACGATAACCAGACCGTTCATTGCAGAGATAAAAAGAAGACAGGGACATTCAGTTGTCCCTGCTGGGAAGCAAAGGTTTCCTTTGCCTTCTGTTCCTCATGAATAACATGAGGGACGATTAGTCTAATCTTCCCTCATGTTATTATGCATGAGGGACGATTACTAGTAATTGTCCCTAATGCTATTCATGAGGGAGGGATGTTCTCTTGTAAACATCTCTCGGAAGACAAAAGAATCCGAGGTGATCATGGTATTACATGACTTGTATGCTTACCAATTTGGTAGTCGTATTCTCTTGATTGCATATTGACAGTCATCAACTTTATTCTTTGCTTGGAAGACAACACCAAAGCCCCCCTTACCAAGGCAAAGTTCGTGCTCAAAATCTGTCAAATATCTAAAAGTTTCAGACAAAATGTCAGTCTTAGAAACTACAGACTGTAGTGTCCTTCACTGTTCTCTTGCCATCTTGAAAAGTAYGGTAGTCACTAGTTATTACAAAATACTAGTTATTTGTTAATCAGAACTTTTGCAATAATATAATTACAGCAATGGTGAAATTGTACCTTGACACAAAGTAGTTTGACAATGATGCTGAAGAAGAGGTTGATACAATGGAATGTTCRCGTTGCTGCAGGAAACAAAACAAAAAACATGAAGATACAATCTTATATTATATACAATGCACAACAGAAAATGAAATAATATCATTATGATTGTACAATACTTACAAAGTCAGTCTGTGATGAGTGTGCAGAAATTGTAGCTGTACTCGATGGAAGGCTTTGCAATGCTGGTGTACTTGTCTGGAATAGACAGTTGGAATAAGTTTTACTAAAAGTCATTAGGAAATATACTAAAGTTAAGAAAAAAATTGAGTATACAACACAATAGCTCAAGGCCATGACTGTCATATAATAGAAAAAATGGAGACCATATCAGATATCCATTTAACCCTAATTGACTGCATTATTGGTAAAATTTGTTATGCTTTAGATAAATCAAATATTAAATACCTAAGTAAGTTCAGAATCTGTAGACTAACCTTTTTAGGAAGTAGAAACCTGAAAACATATTGAGCTACAGCAACCAATAGCACTACAACAAATACAGCTCCTTTCCTATAAGAAAACAAAGAAATAATAAAAAATCACTCAACAGTCATATAAATAATGGCATCAACTTCAATTGCATCATGAGTATATAGCATAAATCTCCCAAGGTCCCTTTCTTGTAACATTTAATATTGTTTACCAGTATTCCAGTGACGGCAATGTCCTGTCAATCACAGTCTTATCGTCATTAGTCTTGTTTCTTGTATTGTTTCCAAGATCTTCAATCCTGTTTTCGTGAGGWGGGACAACAGGTTTAACATCTCCAAAGAAGTAGTATCCATTATCTGTGATAAATATAAATGATAATTAATATTTAGATAATTGCAACATTTGAAACTCAATTGTGTCAACAGTACAATGGAGAAACATCCAACTAGGGTGATCCAACAAAGAAGATCATTGTCTTGCAAAACTTTAGTCTGGAGTGCATAATGAAGTTTGATGCAGACGTAGTGAAAACAATACTCCATTTWGTATTTTGAGAGAATCATGTTAAAAGTCAAACAGAATGAGAATTAAACAATACACTGTGCATGAAGCGCTGGTACTACATTACATGTAACATTGTTAATGGTTGCATGATGATATTATAAGAACATGTGCACTCTATTATARATACTGTACAGGATATTTTTCATGGGACCTGAAAAATTTCACTGAAAGCCTTATTTTTCTTTGCACAAACGGAGCAACTACAAGTTCTTTTTCTGTAGGGAAACTGCTTAAAGTGTTTTAGTGGGTATGAAAAAGTGTGAGGACTACATATCTAGACATTGTCAACCTTGCCTGATATTGATACCATTGATTATTTCAATTGATTGATAACAATGCTCAGTACTTTGACTTCCTATTTTATGGGCAAGCAGTCCAATATTCAATATGATTGATAACTTTAAGAATAGGCTTAGATGAAATAGCAGGTCTTTTACAATTAATTAATATGTGCTTGTTTAAATTTTAATTTAAATTTTCTTAAATTTGTTTCTTAATTTTCTCTCACCAAATGGGTATTCAACAGGATTCCACACTGCAATTTCTTTAGAGACCACAGTGGGAGTACGAGATGCTGATGTTGCAAGCTTTGGTTGCCATGCAATAGCYCTTTGTCGCCTGCTAACCTCTGTACCATCTTTAGGTTGTACTGTGATTGGGGCATCTAAGTATGGGTTAGGGAACTTGGAATGCTGAATGTAGACTTGCCCATTATGAGAACCTTGGATTAAAAAAATCACTTTCATTTCCTKGGGGATGATAGTCCAGTGTTAATTTCAGATGCCCCCCATTGACAGGTATTGAAACCATCCATCATTTTACTATTCAAAATATCATTCCACTCATACATTAACCAGCATTCATCCATCCATTTTTTCATTCAATTATCCATTAATCAATTATTAATAATATAATCCTGTAAGGATCTTGCTTATGATCTTATACAGGATGATCCTTACAAAATCCTGGTTAGGAACGTGTCAGGATCCCAAGGATCCTAGTAGTATCCTAGCCAGGAAAAAAAAAAAGAAAAAAAAAGGATCCTAGCCAGGATTTGAACCAGGAACATCAATTGAAAGTGGACTACAGTACTTCGTCAGAATGTGATTAACTCCTTAGTGTGTGTGACGGCTTACCAAGGTACATTAGAGGTCTATTATGAGCATCATCATTAGGAATACCATCTCTCAATCCTGGTATTACATCATCACTAAACAAATCCACTGACTTCAAAAAACTGCCATGAAGCATCCAAACTGCTGCAATTGGTGACTCAAACTTGTGACTCCATAACACAATATCATTGTTACTGCCAGGCATGTCCTTGAGGTTCACWGCTGCAATCAGTCCATCRGGAACAGAAACTCTTAGTTTCCATTCAACAGATTCATCAATGTCTTCAATTGGGCATTTGCTTCCTCCATTATTTGAAGGTGCATCTAAGAACACAACATCTTGTTGTCCAACAGAAAAATTCCACCTGGAATTGAACAGTCTTACATGATTGTAAATTCTTACAGTCCTGTATGTTCCTTACAAATGCAATTAATGTCAAGTCATTCACATTTTGTACAATCTCTAGATCTCAGAACATTAATGCTTTCTTTTAGAATGTATCCACAACAGATTTTGAACAACACGATACTGTGTGCAGTACACAGATTATTAGACAGTACATAAGTCTAAGGGAAATATGGTTAATTAAAGCATCCATTATATTCACCTTTCTCCTCCTGTTCTTTGGTCAACTGCTCTAATAGTCTGCTGTGTCCTCTTGACGACAAACACTTCACTGTCTTGTACGTTACCTTCTTTATCTTCATCTGTGAGTTTACACCCATCCGCTGAACATAGGTATCTCACCTTTAAAACAAAATGATTCACAATTTCAGGAAGAGAATGGATAAGAAAACTTTAGTCTTTCTGGAACTAGAATTAATTGCTTTCTATGCATAATTCTCCATTCATATCAGCTGAAAAAGAACTATGCATGAATCYGTTTGTTTACCTTTCCTGATTTAGGGTCAATCCCACAAGAGATAGCCTCYTTTCCCCCAACCAACATTGACCCATCTTGGAGCTTAAAGAATGATCCAAGAAGATTGTCCGCTGTGTAAGGAATTGGCTGCAAAGTATTAAATCACAATTAATATCAATATAATACAAARTGCATTCAAACTAGATTTTTATCCATTGATCCTACCTCAATTTTTTCACCATTGATTTGATAAAGTCCTCCATCTAGAGATGGAACTATCCTAACTTGTTTTCCACCCTGATAAACAAGAAKAAATAAACAATTAAAAATTAGATTAAAACCAAGCAAGTCTTTACATACTGGCATGTACAATGTGGTCTGACAGTAGTCGGGTCACAACCCTCCTTGTACATATCAACTTCCATATCATATTTACTTTCATTTTCACTATATTTTTTGTACAAAATACCCAATGATTTTATATGATACGTACAAAGTAATGCAAATATTCAAACCTGTAAAGAGCTTAAGCTAGAYGATAGCAGAGGACCAGAGAAAGCCGGTAAACTCCAACGAATTTGCCCACTCTGTCGGGTATCAAGTGCAGAGAGCTTGCCGTCCAACGTACTCACGATTATAAGGGAGCTTTACAAAAAGCAAAAAAAGATCTGTTYAGYATCAAACGCATAAGCAAAATACGGTTYATGATRAACGTTTGGTGGCTATTTACCAAGAATCTAAGGGTTTTGTTAGCTCCTTTTCGTTACKTCCATCAATGTGAACCTCATCAGCTGTTCTCGAACTATTCGATCCAACTACCTTCACAACCGCAGCCATAAACGCCACGAATTTTACCAAAGATATCCAATCCAAACTTSTCATCGTAATCTAGAATCCATCTTGAATAAATGGAGTTTAAAATGGCAAGAGCTTTACACTCCTTCCATGACTAAAACGGACAGCAASTCAGCGTGGTTTGTGAGAGCACTTGTCMGCCATATTTGTTGTGAGGTGATGGTGAAATGTGTATTTTGATTGGTTGGTTGGTTACACGCTGTAAAAATACGTCATTGGTATATTTTTAGCCACAGYTTTAACGCGGTAACCGCGCCACTTACAACGTGGCGTTTGGTYATTAATTTTCTACATGCCGATAATAATTAATGAAAGTTTCTTTCCATCAAAAAGAAGTAAATATTTTATGATTTCATGAAATATCCTCATCCATGATTCTAGAACACTCTCGAAGATTCCCATTACGACTTCCAGGACTTCCGGAACCGCAAATGACTCAGCATTTTATTAAGTTTTCTGTTTAT